CCGCCATCGGTGTGGCCTATTACTAAAAAAAGAAGTCCATGTTTCAACCCTGAACTGTCAAAAATGTCTAACAATCTAGTTTGTTACGACTCTAAACTATCAAAACCAGTCAAGTTTCAACTTTGACGTCTCCTCAAACCTATTTTTTGTTATTTGAACATGTTTTTAGTTGACCGCCCATTTATAGCCACCACGTCATAATATAAAAGTGTCCAGAAATAAGGGATTTCTTTTTGTAAAAGTAACACTACCATGGTGAACATTCTAGGAAAGTTTGAACTTTTTTCTAAAATGTATTATATAATTAAAATGAAAGACAAACAGCCATCACGTTCGTCCACATTTGGTATATATGCACCAGCTGATTAGAAAATTAATGGCTAAGATTTAAAGTTTTTACGTAACATGCTAACGCATACGTAACAATATATTGGACCACCACGTTGCCAGGTGTATAAAAATATAAAAAGTACAAGCGACAGCCATCATGGACACCATTATTCATTTCAAATAATGGTATCAAATATACGGTAAATCATGTTACTTATACTTAATTACTAGATGAAAACTATATGTTGATTGGAAAAGACATGCTTTTATGAGAGTAATGCGAAAGAGAGCTTCTAGTTTCTTTTTGAGGATCATGCATTGACATATGAATACATCGCATCGAAAATACGGTGTACGTGATATGATGGGCGTAAATGCAACACATTACAGTAGAAAATCCAAGTAACTGCAATACGACCAATGTTATGGAAGTGAATAAGGAGAGAAAAAAATGTATATGAGAAAATGGTTAGATTTTAATTCTTTAAATTATGTAGAAGGATTTTGAAAAGGTTCATCTCAACATGTTACTCCTTTGGTTTTTTATTACATAGAGACGATGAATTATCAAAGCCATCGATAAAATGTGTACAATTGAACATATCTACAATGACTATAAATATGGTAACGCTTTAGCTTGGACATCAAGGAATATTCCATTAATGGTTTGTTTTCATAGTATTGTTTTCGACAGGAAAAAGCGTGTATATATCAGAAACAATGTTCCAAGTGGAGTATCTGAGACAATCTCTATATTAGGAGTAATACATCTTTAGAATCTATGCACGCAACTACGTGGGTCACACCGCTAGTTAGATCATAAAGTTCATGCAAAATAAAAATTCACCCATTTTTTGTTCAAAATTGGACCAGAAGTGAAAGTGTACAGTACATAGAAAACTTTGATAAATTCAATATTACCATGATGACCAGTATGGAAAAGTTTCAAACCTCATTGCCAAACGGATTAAATACAAGAGAAATACATATTCAACCCCCTTTTTTGTTAAAATTTGACCCCCAAGAAGTGTACATACAAATCTAAAAACTACCATGTTGATCATTCTTGGAAAGTTGAAACCCTTTTTGAATATAGATTAAAAAATACATATTCAACCCTTTTTTCATGAAAATTTGGTTAACAATGAGAGTGTGTAATTTTCTTGAAAATATTCTACAAAATCAACACTACTATGGTGATCATTATGGGAAAGTTTAAACTTGTTTACCACACGGATTAAAAAAATACAAGTATGATACATATTCTCCCCCTTTATTATCATCAAAAATAAAGTTTAACAATTTTCTAAATAGATTTGAAACTACAAGACAAATACATATTCAAGACCATCTTTGGTCAAAATTTGATAAAAAATGGAAGTGCCCTGTAATTTTTTTCAAAAACTTCTTTAAACTCAACAGTACGCTGTTCATCAATGTGGGAAAGGTTCAAATAAAATTGTCATATACATTAAAAAATACATGCCCAATACATATTCAACAAAATATTGGATGATTCCGCACCTGATTGTGTTTTCAGCTTGACCAGTTTTGATACTTCAAGATTGTAACTTAGATAGTTTGAAATTTTATTGTTGGTTATTAGACATTTTGGTAGGTTAAAATAAGTACTGCACTCATTACTAAATTATAGGCTCTTACTGGTTAGATGTCTTGTCTCTCAATTTGCACACCTTTGGTGAGAACTTTTAGGCTAACAATCAATACAATAAATAAGTGAGCTGTACTCTACACCTTACTTGTCATGAATCCGTCAAAGTGCACCTGATAGTAAGTACAAAGAGGACGACGACATGACATGCTCTAACCATCATTGGTACGCTTACTTGATCATGTCCTGACTTCTTTAATTTTTGTTGTTCTTTGAGCGATGGCTTGAGTCCTCTCTCCCAACAGCCGCATGTGACGTTGAACTTGCTATATATATGGGTATGGTATTGTTATATGATTATGTTGCTAGCTAGATAATATAAAAAAAATGCTTAGTTGAGATCATTCTCAAATATATTGCTGCTTTCAAAATAACTATGCGCTAGGTCAGGTAATATGAAAAACGATGTTGTTTAGGTACTCGACATGCGTATTGATCATTTACACTTAAGCTTGCTCATTTTGCACGAAAATGCTATCTTATTGTTTAAAAGGGCAGCTTAGTGTCTTCTATATATGGTAGTTTGCCAGCCGTAAGGCATTCCCTCACTATGTTCACACATAAATATATTCATGCTTACAACTAAAGTAATTAAGATGATAATTAAGATAATAACAATGTTGTGGATTTGTGGCGAAGGTGCTAAATATCATGTGCTTACACAGTTTATTATGGTATGTGGTAGTGACAATGCTTCTATTTGATGGTGATATCCTTTTCTTTCCCCTTAATTAGCATATGTACTATGTTATTGTCAATACGTACCGACGACAAACACAATTTATGGTTTTCACAGTTTTACATTGCCAGTTGTTTCCGTGGTTAATGGTTGAAGGTTTTCTTTTAAAGTTAAATCAGAACCATTTAAGCTATCTTTCCAGATAAGATATAAAATGTCAAGTGGTTGACCATCTGTGGCTAAGATACATTCATCACAGTACGTGGAAAAGTCATCGATAACCTAGAGTTTTACATCAAGTCATGATGGTCTGTTGATTTTCACAATTAACTTAATCTAAACCTCAAAGTTATCTTTCCTTAGACAATAAGAAATATACAACGCTTTTGCAATACTATGTAACATGTCCTGCCTAAGTACGCGCATGCACGCTTTTGAAATATTAATGTAACATGTCATGATATAGTTTTATGTCAATAAATTCATACAAGAGCTGAACGTCTATCCAGGAGGAGTTCCGACTGCGGGTTTTTAGACATGACTGCGGTGGGTTGTTAATGTGTTGTACAAGTATTCAGATTGTATGTAACTGTGTTCTACCATTCTCCCTAGTTTCTAGGATCTCTGGCGCCCCTCTCTTGGTCATGGCCTGCACGCCTACAATGATGGGAGCTGTTGTGGGGCCTCGCCATATATTGTAAATCTCGGTATCACTTCAATACAATAGCTAGTACAACGAGTGCAGCGTTTCGGTGCCCAGACTCATCTGCACCCGGTCAGAAAAAATCACAAAAAATTTAAAATTTTCCAAAAATTCCAATTTCTGTTAATATGGTAGAAAATTTGTTGCGTGAAGTTCGCTCCAATTTTCAGATAATTTGGACATCTCAAAAGCTCTCAACAAAGAAGACAAATCAAGTCAGAATAGTGAATGAACAGTGAACTTTTTTACAGACTCTGAATTTGTTTTTTGCCGAGAGCTGCTCAGATGTCCAAATGCTTTGAAAATAGGAGCGACCCTCACGCATCAAATTATTTCGCATGCAAAATTTTTGGATTATTTTGTATTTTCTAGTATTTGTTTTGATTTTTTTCCTCAACACGGGTGCAGATGAGCCTGGCTCAGAAGTGGATTATCGAGTGCGCCATCTCTTTCCTCTAGGTAAGTAGTCTTGGGTGCTCTTCTCTCCTGCCCACCAATATGTAAGCAACTATGGTATGTGTCCTATAGTTACTTGGCAGGGTTTTCTGAGCGGTACTCAGCTTATTCTAACCTATGCCGAGGGCCCTGCAGTAGTCGTTCTTTTTTTGTGTTGTACTCGGCTTGCACTGGGCTAAAAAAAATCAAAAAAATTCAAAAAATTCCAAATTTTGTTTATATGGTAGAAAATTTGTTGCGTGAAGCTCGTTCTAATTTTCAGATAATTTGGACATCACAATAGCTCTCAACAAAAATGACAAATCGGATCAGAATAGTGCATGAACAATAAACTGTTCTAGAGACTCCGAATTTGTCTTTTTTGCCCAGAGCTGCTCAGATGTCCAAATGATTTGAAAATAGGAGCGAACCTCACGCATCAAATTATTTAGCATGCAATTTTTTTGGATTTTTTTGAATATATCTAGTACTTGCTTTGACTTTTTTCCTGAAGACGGGTGCAGATGAGCCTGGGCACAGAAGTGGATTATCGAGTGCGCCATCTCCTTCTTCTAGCTATGTAGTCTTGGGTGCTCTTCTCTCCTGCCCACCAATATGTAAGCAACTATGGTATGTGTCCTGTAGTTACTTGGCAGGGTTTTCTGAGCGGTACTGAGCTTATTCTGAGCTATGCCGAGGGCCCTGCAGTAGTCGGTTTTTCTTTTTTTTTTTTTTTTTTTTTGCGTTGTACTCGGCTTGCACTGGGCTAAACCCAATTACCAGACAAATAACACTTGGCTTATGTTCAACCACTAGGCAACACGTGCAGTTGCTGCACATCCACAGATTACGTGCAAGGGTGCTGGTGATAGTTACACATGCGCTCATGGCGTCGGACTAAGGGTGCTGGCGAGAAGGGGGATGACAGTAGGTTGTCGATCGACTTGTGTATAAATTTTGTATAAACTTATATATGACAATACATGATACACCAATAGTTAGTACATAACTAAAGACCTTAAATACACCATTCATGTATAAGAAAGAAAACACCCAAAAGTCATTTCTTTTGACCCGAACAAGCAGCTGGTAAAATAGGGTGTCATCATTGCACTTATAATGGAGCATGCACTACCATTTTATCTCACCTGGCCTGGATGCATGTAGATTATCATCATCCACTAGATGAAGGTGTGAAAAAGACAAGTCTCAGGAGCTGTTGTTGCTGATGACGAGAACCTCATGTTGGTGATGTTTGGCCTGATAACATGCCCCAAAAACAACCCAAAACTTGTTTTGGATGCTTTTCTTCCATTTCCAATGCGTAAGCAACTACTACGTGTCACATCTGTGACTCTCATGGACGTCCCATAGCCATGTACGTCTATATACGGCCTGGTTGGCACGCCTAGAACATGCTGGACGGCTGTGTCCATGTCACCCGGAGACGATGCCTTCCTCTTACCTTGGCATGCATGCAGCTCGTGAAGTTTTGGCAGCGGCAAGGCTGTGCGCTGGTTGATGAACCGTACGATGCTCTCCATGAGGATCTTGCTGGTCGCACGCAGTGGGTTGTACAGGTGGAAGCCATGGTCTTCTCCCTTTGATTCTATCAATGTCACCCGCGTTTTCATCATCGGCCCATGAGCAGCAGTCGCGCATGCGAGCTGCCAGCCGACGCCCGCGGTCACGCAAGGTGTCCTTCTCGGCCACGGCCACCAGCACACGCCGGCATGTCAGCGAGGCGATCTCCTCGTCGACGGGGTTGACCAAGGGATCGTCGTTTCCCAGCCGGCCGGCCGTAATGAACGGCCAGAGCCTGTCGACGTCCTCGGGAGCAAACATGGCGATGCCGTCCCAGACTGCCTCGGAGCTGGACAGCCGCTCGACCCCCCAGAAGTATGGGTGCACGATGACCAGCCCTTCGATGTGGATGTGGCTGCCACCGCCACTGGCCGCACGCACCGCCGTGTTGTAGACAATATTCCCGCCGGCACTGTCGCCAACGAGGAACGTGCGCCCGAGGTCTGCGTAGTCTGACAGCCACGGATCAGAGAGGGACACCACCCACTGGAGCGCCGCCCATGCATCTTCATAGGCTGCAGGCACAGGATGCTCCGGCGCGAGACGGTACTCCACGGACACGACGAGCGCCCCGGCGCTGGCCGCCAGAGACCTGGTGTAGCTGTGGTAAGTGCGAGAGAACGCGCTCCCCGTGCAGAAGGATCCGCCGTGGACGTACATGAGGACGGGAAGCCTCTCGCCGCCGATCCCCGTAGCGGCGGCTGCAATGGAGGGAAGGAACAGGCGTGCGAACACGCCGGTGCTCTCGTCGACGACCACGTCCCTGGTCGCAACTCCACGGTTTGCTGCCGGGTCCTTGGACGCTGCCACGAATGGGCTGTGCAGTAAGCGCTCCACACGGCCGCCCTTGTATTCCCGTATGAATGGATACAGGTCGACGGTGATGCCCTCCTCGCCGTCATCCTTCTTGCTAAGTACCGGAGAACTCTTGCTTTCCTGCATATTGTGCTTGATTCAGCTTGCCAGCAGTGTTGTGTCGATTACTTTGGTGCGAAGCCTGCAGCTCTATTTGGTGCAGAGAGAGCCTTGATGCTCAGTGGTCAGGCAGCCGGTTTAATTCCCACAATTGACACGTGCTGCAAGGGCGCATTGGACGCTTTAAGAAAAAGGGTTTCCCCCGCTTTATATTATAAAGCAACGAACCAAGCATCCAACAAGTTAGTACATAGTGCAATCAAGTCAAAAAGCCGTGTTGGGGGCACAACAAGACAAGCCCCAAATAAAGCTAAAAAAGGCTAATCCGGCTCGGGAGGAGGAGGCGGAGGTGGTGGCGGTGGAGCAAAAGCCGAGGCCGAGGAACGGAGACCTGCAATGAAGTTGTTGATGACGTCTCGGTCCCGCTGACTGCTAAGCGGTCTCCAAAGCTGTAAGAAGCCACACATTTTGTAGATTGCATCAGTCACACGGCATGGAATCACACGTTCGATGACAAGTTTATTGGGCCAACACCATAACATCCAAGCGAGGGTACCCAGCGCCACCCAGATGGGTGGGCGCCTGGGACCGGGTAGTCTAAGGACCTCCTCAAACAGGTCCGGGAGGTTGTCGTGGCACCAGTTGCCACCAACCACCTCCCGGAAACAACTCCAAAGGAATTGAGCCACCGGCCATCGAAAGAAGATGTGTTTGCAGTTTTCCGGGACCAAACAGATGGGGCACAGAACGTTCCCAGGTCCGTTACATTTCTGGACCTCCGTACCCGAAGGTAGGCGCCGTCGTACCCATTGCCAAAGAAATATGCGGATCTTCAATGGGAGTTTGATTTCCCAAAGAACCGCTAGCTCTACTGGTCCGGGCGAAGGGACAATCGCCTGGTAAAGGGACCTAGTTGAGAACCGGCCACTAGGTTCTAGGTGCCACGAGAGCACATCGGGCTCAAGGGAGGGGGGGTGAAGGGCGATACACGAGAGCAATTCTTCCCATTGCTCGCGTTCCGTCGCCCCAAAGGTACGGAGGAAGGCAATGGCGCCCAAGTCGGTTAGAGCAGCGGCCACAGAGAGCTGTGGGTGGGCACAAATCGAGAATAAGGCGTGAAAACGCTCCGCAAAGGGCCGATTCCCGGCCTACCTATCCAGCCAAAACAGGGTACCGAATCCGGAGCACACTTTAATGGAGGTCCCAATACGCAAGATCGGCATCAACCGGACCACCGTTTGCCAGAATTGGGAGCCTCCAGAGCGAGAGGCGAAGGCCAACGGTTGCCCGCGAAGCTATTTTGCGCGAATAATCTCCAACCACAAGCCTCCCTCGCAGGTCTGGATACGCCAGAGCCATTCGGAAAGGAGGGCTATGTTCATCCGCTTGGATGAGATGACCCCAAGGCCCCCTTGGTCCTTGGGCTTACAGATCTCAGACCACTTCACCATGTGGTACTTTTGTTTATTATTCTCTCCAGCCCAAAAAGAATCTGGAGAGGAGCTTGGTGACCTCCTTATGAAGGGATTCGTGTAGAGTATAGAATCCCATGAGGTACATCAAGAGGCTAATGAGGGAGGAATTCATAAAAATCACTCACGCGGCCTTGGACAACCATCTCCCCTGCCAAGGTTCGACCCTTGGTTGGAGTTTGGCAACTATTGGGCGAAAGTCTTTTTCCAGGAGCGACAGTGGACGCTTTTCCACTCCCTCCCTCTCGAGTGGCTCGCGCGGGCGGCTCCGGAGACCAAAACCTGGCCCCGCGAGTGCCCCTCCTTGCGCTCGCTGGCCGCTGCTGCCGCCGGCGCCGGCGGTGGTGGCGGCACCTAGGCGGGCGAGTTCGGCGTGCCCCAATGGGCATCCTTCGCACGGGGGAGTGGCATAGCGGGCGGCGTGGTGGATCTTACCGGTGCGGTCATGGGCAGCGCACGATGAGGCGGAGCATGGCCGACGGCGTGGTGAGGTGGAGGTGTTGCACAGCGGTCCCCCTAGGTGCGCCTGGTGGACGTTGGAGGCAACAGATCTCTGCCGGATGGCTGCGAAAGTGGCGGCCGGGACATGCTGTGGTGGACAGGGTGCGCGGCTTGCCTCCTGCGGTCACCGGCGCCAGTGGTGGCGCCGTGGGATGGAGTGCTTGGCGCAGGTCGGATCTGAGCAGGGTGGCCGGGCCTGCGGCCCTCTGCGGGGAGGTCGATGTGGTGGAAATGCTCCCTGTTCGTGGGTTCCTGAGCCGCAGTCGTGGCATGGCTGCCGCCAGGAGTGGGCGTGTGCAGTTACTGCTGCGGTTCCGATGGCCTCTGGCTGTGTTGGTGTTGGGTGCTGCCTTGCTGGATTGGATCTTCATCAGTCGTGCAGGCGGTGGTTCATGGAGTGCGTGTACTTGGCCATGCAGGGCATCGGTGTTCTGCAAAATTAGTCACGATGTCGAGGTGCTGCGGCGGCAGCGATGTTACCCGTCACAGACATGTGGCCTCTTTCCTTGCAAGGGGTGGGAGGTGGGCGACGGATGAAAATCCCGCCCATCTTCGGTCGGTGCTGGCTATGACGGTGCCTGTGGATGTCGTTCCCCTGCTTGGAGGCGTCGCTATGGTGTGTCGGCATCTCCCCTCCTTCTTTGGTTTGTAGTCACCGGCGAAATCCTAGGTCTTGGACCTGTGATGGTGGCGTCTTGGTGTCGTTCCTCCATTGGGAGCATCATGGAAGGAGAGTTGGCCTGGAGGTTCGGTCATGTGGTTCTTCGGTGTGTGCCGCTGGTCCGAGTAGAGGATCTTGGGCGCTATCTATACCAATGTCAGTGAGTCCAAGACGGTGGCTTTCCCGGAACTTACGGAGTCCCACTACCCACCTGCCATCTCCTTTTCGGCATCAAGGGTGGTTGGTGCGTCTACAAGGGAAGTTTGGTCGAAGTTGTTGCTCTTCGTATTGGCCGGTGTTGGTCGAGACGCGGCTTTGATGCTCGGGTCTGACAAGCTCCTTTGCGTTGTTTTGTAATGTGTGTAGCGGCTTTTCTTCGGATTAGCTTGGATGTGGTGTTGTTCCTATACTTGTTGTTCGCAGCATGTTGTAGCTTCTTGTAATTGTCTTCTACCTTCTATAAAAATATGGTACGCCATTGACGTACTCACAAAAAAGGACACATGATGCAAGAGTTTTGCTACATCCACAAAGAGTTAGTACGTGGGAAGGAGGCTTACAGGGTAAGGTTCCAATGTTTAATTGGGCTTAGCGTGGCAGCGGGCCCACACTGAAATTGTGTGTGGAGGGGGGGGGGGGTATATAGTACGATGGATGGAAGGTTTCGTATATTTAGGTAAAAGTTGGTACCATTTTCAGTGATGCAAAGGGTTTTTCCCACTTATTAGGACCATGATGATGGAATGCATGCACCCTGGGTTGGCTTTTTATGCATGTTCTTTTTTTCCTAGATTGCAAGGATTATATTGGTGGATCTGCATTGTTATAACTCGGTCCCATCATATAAACGGCGGGATTAACACTAGAATTTCTAGAGAATCTTATGAGTGTAAGTATAGGTAATTAAAAAGTTGCATAGATATGACAACAAGGTGTCAACAAGAGCTCCCTTCTTTACCTTACTGAACTTGAAAAAAATCCAAATTAATTAATAATAATATTCTCACATCTATTTATATATGAAAAGTAACTGATGGGTTACTTTTTTTTGATGGGTTACTTAGAAGCAAGAGATTAGTATAGAAAATTATATGTTCATTAGAAAATACAAGCCCTGGATCCGGTGGCTTTTCTAATATTATAATTATATAACCGTTAGATATGTGTAACATATTCCATAAAAAATGATATACGTAATATATATAACATTGTCCTAATCTACCATGAGTCGTGCCATACATTAGTTTTTTTTTTACATGCTAACATGTCTCATCTGGTCTCTCTCAAAAAACTCAAACTCTCTTACCCCACGTCGATACATCAAACCCAGATTAGTTTATTTTATATATAATAAATTAGAGTCCACTACACATCAACCTCATACGCCCTACATTAGTTTCTCCTAGATTTTCTTTGTCCAATCTTTCCCAAAAAGAAATCTACCATCAAGTTCTCTTCCTGTGCCGCGCACGCCTCCGTTTTTCCTTTGCCGATGGTACTGACA